GAGCCCACTGGACCCGGGGGGAGCGGAAAGCCCACTGGACCCGGGGGGAGCGGAAAGCCCACTGGACCCGGGGGGAGGGATGGAGAGCCCACTGGACCCGGGGTGAGGGGGAGCGGAGAGTCCACTGGACCTGGAGAGGAGGAGAGCCTGCGGGATGGGGGGGGGAGCGGAGAGCCCACTGGACCCGGGGGGGTGGGTACGAAGAGCCCAGGGGACATGAGGGGGTAGAACAGCCTGGGACCTGGGGCGGGGGTGCAGAGAGCCCGCAGGACCTGAAGGGATGGACGGTGGTTGAGGGAGGGTGGAGAGCCCATGGGACCTGGGGGGGGGCAGAGACCTTACAGATTTGTGGGGGTGTGGAGAGCTGGGGGGGGCTGTGGGTGAGAGGAGCCCTGGGAAGAGGCTCTGGTGCTCATCTTCCTGCCAACATGGGGGAGTGTGTGGAAGGCCCATGGGACCTATGGTAGTGGGGGGCATCAGGATGGGGCAGGGGCTCAAGGGGAGGGACTCCAGGACCTGCGAGGGGCAGGGAGGGGTATGGAGGAGTGGAATGGGGACCTGCGAGGGGCAGGACAAGGAGGGGCGTGGAGGCACAAACCCCTCTGCTCTCCCAGGCTGGCAGACAGCCAGTTGCTCCACAGACTGGAGTCGTGACCCGGGGAACTCGGGGAGTAGACACCCCAGCTTGGCTACAGGGCAACGGGCTAAGTGCAGCCACAGGAACACGTTCTGGAGGCGCAAAATATTTTATTTAACAATCTGCAGTGTAACAATGTCTTTAGGAAAATAGCAGCTCCCGCCTCGGAAGCGTCTGGCATCAGAAGTGGCTGGCAGTCTACACAGGACAGTCGGTAAAGTGGGGGCCACAGCGCCCCACAGGTGTGGAGTCCAGGGTCGCCTGTGGACTTTGGGCCTGGCCGTGGGCAAGTCAGGACCTTGGGGAGGGGCCCGTGCTGACTCCCACGCACACCACTTCCAATCAAAGTACCAAGCACACTACTCTGGTTCCCCGAGAACCGAGGGGTGACTACCTAAGGCTTCTGTAAAGATCTGTCTTCCCATGAGTCTCTCCCCGAGCTCGTGAATGGTTGTGAGAACAGTCGGTGAAGCCTTAAAGCTCAAATGACCCAGAGCTGCTTGCAGCTGGGTGTGTCCAGCGGCCGAAGCTCTCAGTGGGGACAGGAGGCCGCTATCTTCAAGGGGGGACCCACCTCTTCAGTCTTCCCCAGAGGGTTCCCCTGGGAGTGGGAGACGGCTTCAACCTGACAGTCCCCTGCCTCCTGTGCCAGCTCTTTCTAGGCAGTGGCGCCGACTGGATGGGCTGTCAGTCTGCCCGTTCGCTGGGTACGCTCATGTGTGGTCCTGAGAGGCCACAGAGGCGGCGGTAAAGCACAGGCTGCCGCCAAGGTAAGGGCCCAGGCACCGGGTGACTGAGGCGGAGGGTCCCAAGGCCCCAAGCACCCTGCTTCTGTTCAGATGTTGGCTGGGGTCACAGTAGCCTCAGAAATAAAGGGGTGCCACAGCACGTAGCCTCCAGGTGCAAAGATGTGGTGGCAGGAGCTGCCTCTGGCGTTGTCCAGGCCCCAGGGCCTCACCTTGGGTGCCTGACGCACCTCGGCCCAGCCTGAGCTGCCAGTGGGTGAAGGCACTTCTCCCGCAGCGCAGCCGTGCCAACCTCACTAACTCGGGGTCCTTAACTAACGAAGGAGGGGCTTTTTCAAGTTTTCCCCCTGACAGAGGACACGGCTGTAAGCCACTCTTGCAGGTCAAAAGCTGAGTAAGACGGGCTCTTCTCCAGGGTCAGCAAGGAGATGGGAGCTGACAATGGCAGGAGTTGAAGAGGACGGTGATGGCTGGGTCACCAGCCTGGATCCGACTCAATTCCAGGCCGGAACGAGGTCAGCAGGCACCCTGAGTTCTCGGGACAGGAAGCCTCGGGGTCCCCGTGCTGATCCAAAGCAGAGCAGCCTAGCTGAGAGCCAGATGTTTCCTCTGGCTGATCCTCCCCAGCTTCGAACCTCCAGAGGCAGCAGAGACCTGGGACACCAGGAGAATGAAGGAGGGGTGTTCAGAGGAGCTGGGGAGGGGAGCGCACAGAGTGTGGAGGGTGGACAAGGAGGGACAGAGCTCTGAGTACAGAAGGAAGTGGGCGCCCAGGGATGGACTGATGGGTACGGAGTCCCTGCACATGATGGAGGTGCTCAGAGCCCCACCACAGGACGTGCCTCCTGGGCAGTGGACCCAGCTGAGTCAGCAGGGCACGGGCAGGCCTTCTACTCCCGCCCCCTAGCCAGGCCCCTGGCCACGCCCACGGTCACAATCACTTACTTGTGCAAACTGGGCAGGATTGTAGAAGGGCACAGCTCCCCCCAGAGGGCCTCCTGCAGGGGCTGTATCGCTAGGCACCTGTGAAGCAGAGAGGCCAGTCAGCAGGAACCGTGTTGCAGCCAGGGTGGGCTGCTTTGGGAGGCAGGTGGGAGCTGTGAGGACTACAGCAGGATTGTTTAAGGGGTCAGAAGGGGGGGTGCGGAGACAAGCGGATGCCCAGAGCACATGAGGCAGATGTGTGGACAGGAGGCCACTCTCCATATGGCCAGCTGGTAGAGCGGTGGTGGCCTGGACTTTTGGGTGCAGCATGTGAACACACAGCTCAGCGTCCCCCCAGCCAGCTCCAGGAGCCCGAGTCCCACAGCGCAGTGACCACAAAGGGTCCCTTCGTCTCACTGGTTTCGCTGAACCCACCTCCATGCACTTAATCCTGAAAGGCCCCTTCCCCGAGGTGACTGCTCTGGCCATGCTCACACACAGGGCGGAGGCCTAGAGAAGCGGAATGCCCGCTGCCCTCCCTGCTGGGAGATGGCCCAAGGACATCTGAAAACAGTCACATGGGCACAGGGTGAGCTGGAGTGGGTGGTGCCAGCCTGGGTACCTGGTCAAAGTGCTGGCACACTTCCCGTGACAGCGAGCTCACGGAGCTACAGCGAGAAAGCTACAAAACAGCAAGGACACACAGACAGTCTGGCATCAGCAGGCACCAAGCGGCAGGGCTGGCTCAGAGAGCTGCGGATGCGTCAGGATGGCAAGAGCCCGGGGAAGAGCTGAGCAGTCGATGCACCGCTCGCTTGTTACAGGTGGGGGCAGGGCCAGATCTGCCGCTTCCAGGGCCTAGGCTAGTTCCACCCGTGCGCTCACACAGGGCTGAGGGGAGGCCATGCTTGGGGGCCACGGGGGACCCCTTCTGCAGGCCGGGGAGAGAGGATACTGCCTTGGCAGACCCTGGAGGATAAGACACCTCCTCCTGTTGTGACCCAAGGGGACAGGGTGTCTCCCCCTTCTGCAATCCCAGGGGACAGGACACTCTCTGTGCAATCCCAGGGACCCTGACCTCCCCTCCTAGACGGTTTTGCCAAAACAAGTGGCATTTTTCTGGGCTGTTAATGACAGGCCTCAAGCTCCAGGGGTCCTAGGCCGCCCTTCCCCACACATTGGCACCATTCTGAGAGGGGCCAACAGTTTGGTCAAGACCAGGCTGGCTGAAGCTGGCCCAGCTCCTTACCTCTCCTCCTGGCAACGTAGCCACACCAAGCTCAGAACCTACCAGCGGGACTGCAGAATTCACAACCTGCCAAGAAACCAGGAGGCGGAGTAGCCAGACTTAGAGGTGGCTCACAGAGGGCCGAGAAACAGCCCACCACCCTGGCCCCACACGGCAGCCCGCATGCCAGGACTGCTGACAGATCGGTGTTAGATGCCTGCTGTATGCCAGGCAGGTTCCTGCTGCCCACGGAGCTGCCTACCCTGGTCATGGCACCAAGCCCACTTCACAGAGGAAAATGAGTCCTTGGGCTTTAAACAGCAGCTAATGGAACACCAGGAGTGAAAGGGAAGCCTGGGCCTCCAGAGGGGGCTCTGTACACGTCTCCCCACAGCTCACAAGTCTCTGCACCCTCACGGGAAGACCACCCCACAGGGCAGTGTGGAGACCTACTGCCAGTCCTGAGGGCCAGCTGGGCACGGAGCCCCTCTGCTGAAACTGTGATGCCTGCCTGGGCAGCACTCCTCTTTCTACTACCACTCACCTTGGTGTCCAAGGCAGGCTCTGATCTGTCTTGTCCCACTGCTGGCACGTGCCCACCTGGGTCCCCTGCTCCTGTAGGCTGGGACTCCTCAGAATCTGCAGGAGATGAGATATCAGGATCCTCCAGCCCAAACACTGGGGTGAGGGAGTGGGGCACGCGGAGAGGGCTGCAGTGAGGGCTGGTAGTTCACAGTGGGGCCCGCGAGTGGCCAGCCTACCTGGGCCTGGGACAAACAAGTGCGCGGGGATTGGGAGTGGGGCGAGGGGTGCGAAGAGCTCTGTGGGTGGCACGGTGGGTTCCCCTCGTGTGGTCCCGCCTGGGTTCAGCACGTCCACATAGCGGGCTCGACTTCCAGCTGTGGAGGGTAGAGAATGGGCCAAGTTCAGGTCATGGCCAGCTGGCTCCCAGGTGCTGGAAAGATCAGTCACGCCTGCTTCCATGCCACCCTGCTGCGGTGTGGGGCCTGGCTGGCCTTGTTTCAGCCTGCCTGCCCAATCAGCACGACCAGAATGGAGTCTCTGCCCCTGACCCCTGACCCCTGGCCAGGGAAAGCCTCCTCCAGGGACACGCTGCAACCCAAATAAACGCCCACTTCTGGTGAGACTATGTTACCTGCTTTCCTGGAAAACACGTTCACCGTGGCTTTGGGAGGCCCACCAGGACCAGGAGGAGCAACCTGTGGAGTCTTGGGGAAAGCCATTGGAGGGGGGGGCGGAGCCTTCTTCTGCAAAGGGGACCAGAACATTCCACGTCAGGAGGCTCCAGAGGCAGCACCAAAGCCCAAACCCTGCAAAGCAGAAGGCGCTCCCCTCCGTTACAGCAGACACCTGAAGTGACAGCTCACCTCCTCTTCCGGCTCATTCAAATTCACCCACCGATTCTTCTTTTCATCCCAAACAATCTGCACAGATGAAAAGGAGTAAAGACAGAGTCCAGGGGGCCGGAGGTCAAGGGAGCCGGCGCCACTTGACCACTTAAGAAGGCACCTCTCGGGCCTGAGGGGCACCTGTGGAAGCCACACCGCCAGGGCGGGCACACGACAGCATTCCCACCCGCCCCGTGTCCCTCCTCACGTCCTGCCTCACGCACGGCCCCTCTGCCCCCCTCAGCCTCCACCTCCGACACCTCACCCGCTCCACTCACCGATTTGTTCTTGTCATCTGGCAAGTGCGCTTCCGTTCTCTTCTTCCCGGGCAGCCAGCGTGAGAACCAGGACTCGGAGCTCTGAGCACAGAAACTTTCATGTCACAACGGCCCCCGCTGGTCACCCCGGGGCCCCCAGAGATGAATACAACAGCCCGCTAAGTCAGGGCGAGACGTCTCTGTTGTAGTGCGAGAAGGCTGGGAGCTGCACCCCCCTTCCTGCATGCACCACCCTAAGACTGTCGGTGCGCTGGACTGAGGACACGGTCACTCCTGAAGCCCAGCCCGCCGTGCAGTGACCCCGCCTGCCCTGTGAGCCGAGGGCCTGTCTGGTGTCCTGGCCCCGCCTGTGACGGGGGACTCCTCCAGCTCGGCGTGAGTGACCAGGAGCAGGACACGGCGTGTGCACGCCCAGCAGACACTGCGGCCACCCAAACCCTCTGCGGGTCCCGACACGGAACAGGCAGGACAAAGCCTGCTGGGAAGGTCCTCCATGCTGACCCACTGAGCTGCGGGGTTACACCCGTCACACTCCCACACCTCCGTTACCCAAAACCCTGCGCGCCACATCCACCCCGACTCCTGCTAACCCCAAGGGGCCCCTGAGCCTGGACGTAGTCCACAATGCTGCCCACTGGGACAGCAGGATGCCTGGTGTGTCTGAGACCTCCGCAGTTAAAAAGCCCTGGCTTAGTAGAGGCCTGAGAGAACTGGCTCCCGGGGACCCTCACTGTCCCGACATATCCTCCCCTTCACATCAGTCCCCCCGCACACACTCCCGCCACGTCCTCCACCCCTGCAGGTCTGTCCTCCACTATGCCCACCCCCCATCGCAGGTCGGTCCCTCAACACCCATCTCCCCGCACATCCTCGCCCTCCACCCTCCCCAGCCACGACCCGGCAGCACCTTCTTGGGCTCTTTAGCCTCTTTCCTGGCTGTTTTCACAGGCCTCTTCACCTCAGAATCTGGCGTCCTGCCCGCGTCAGAGTGCTCCCACCGCGGGGAGGGCTCCGGGTCCTGTGACGGCCTCATGAAGTCCTGTTCCAGAGACAGCAAGCCACTCAGCTGGGGTCCCCACCCAGGAAGGCACGCAGTGCAGAAAGCTCTGTCCCCGGTTCCCCCAGGGCCTGAACAGCTCTCAGATGGAAACAGGCTCTGACGGGGCCCCTGCTTATCCCCTGGCAGGCCACACTGGGTCCCCTGTTTCCTTGGGGACCTGCCCAGCTAGGGCAAGGCTTGCTCATGCCCCCTAGAAGGGCTAAGACCACTGGCGCACAGGGAGGCAGGCGGGCTGTGCGGTAGGCGGGCAGGTGACTACCGACACGACCTGCTCCCAACAGTCAACGCCCACTGGTTCCTCCAGCATCGGAACCGCACCGCACGGCAAAGGTTCTGCTGGTGAGGCACGCTACAGGGCCGGGCTCTGCAGGGAAGGTTCCAGAAGCACCGTCTAAGTGCTTCCCATTCCTTAGCCAGGGCCAAGGCAAACAGATAACGTTAACACCAACTCCAACTGACACAATGAACCCTGACGTCAAAAACACAGGTGTCAATTTTAGGGGTAAGGGCAGCAGTTGGAATCCACAGGCCACTCCCAGGGCTGCTTCCTCCCGTCAAGACGTCCAGTCTCGAGTCCTGACAGGGAGACACTGAACTGCAACCACGCACAGCAGTGCACTCGGGATCTGGGCTCTAATGTGAAAAAGGAGGTGCAAACAGCAGGCGGTCTCACTCTGGGAAAATGACCTGTTCACGCCTCAAAGACTCCTCTCCTTTCTTGTTGTGTCAATGTTTTTTACCAACTTGTCCCCTTCTAAGGACTAAAGTCACTTCAGAAAGGATTTCTCTGTCAAAGGGTCTTAAAGAGCAGTTTCTCAGCCTTTGTTATTTACTTACAGGAACAAATAGCTAAACACACACACACATCAGCTGCAAAAGAACTACACACACACACACACACACACACAGAGAGAGAGAGAGAGAGAGAGAGAGAATACCAGGTTAGCGGTGCTCCCACCAAACTCGTCCTCTCTTGGCTCCGAGTGTGAGCTCCTCAGAGGTGACTCCTGTGTTGAGATCCCTATAGCAGAGGTGGGAACACTGTCACTGGGCACTGCGGGGAGGGCAGAGGAGGAGTAGGGACGGGGCACTGCGGGGAGGGCAGAGGAGGGGGCAGGGGACACTGCGGGCAGGGCAGAGGAGGGACGGGGGCACCCTCTAAGAGATGCTGGCACTGCCAGACAGGGCAGAGGCGGTGGGGCGGGAAGGCCCTCCGAGGACACCTATTGAGCTTCTGCACTCTTATTTTGAGAAATCAGAGAGAGACTGTTGAGTCGAAAGCATCACGGCCCCAGGTGTCTCCTTCGTCCCAGCAGAAGAGGACCGTGGGATGGGTCTAAGCCCCTCTGCGTCTCTACTGGCGTCACATACCCATTTAAGCTTTAACATCACAGCATCTGGCCAACTTCCACAAGAAGCTGGCACTGACATTTTAATCTGGGGATTCTAAACCAATCACTTTCAAGTTCTAGAACTGAGACCACACGGAGACATGCAACCTGACTTATCTCAGGACCACGTGATCCATGAAGCTCCCACTGGCCGTCCCCTGAACACACCTGAGCCCACTGCGCGCTGGTGCTCAGCCCTGCAGACCCACCTGGCTGGTCGTGCTGGCCCTGGGGCACTGCCGAGTACTGTGTGGAGGGATCAGGCCAGGAGGCCTCTGAGAAGCTGAGTGCAGGCCCCGATGGCCCTGGCTCCATGGGGCCAGGGGCTGGTGGCACCGAGAACAGCGGCACCCTGGCCGGGCCAGGCAGCGTAGCAGGTGGGGTCTGTGGGGCTGCGTAGGGAAGGGTCATTTACTAATAGAACAGCTTCTTGAGGACTCAGAGCCCCTACGACCCACCATCCCTTCAACGGGACAGGGAAAGCAGAGTGGGCATTCGTGGGCCAGAGGCAGGGCGGTTATGGCCGTCACCAAGTGCAACAAGGGGTGCTGCTGGATGCCAGCACTGAGCCCTACGACCGACGTGCTCACCCAGTGAGAACAGAGAGGGAGATGGGCCGTGGGCTGTGAGGGGACAGCACCTCCGTGGTCCCTGGACAGGACGGAAAAGCCCGTCCGAGGACTCACCCGACGGCAGCAGCTGCACGCTGCCGAGGATCTCAGCGCTCGGCTGGGACAGGGCCAGCAGCGGGTTCTCGGGACTGGGCCCGTCACACGGCTCCACCTCCGAGCTCGGCGTGCTGGGACACTGCTGGGGGAGGGCTCCGTCCTGCCGCCAGACCACAACACCCTCCTGGGGGACACAATGGGTACAGAGTCTGCCACTCGTCCCAGAGCCTGCAGTCCTGACACCTGCCTATCGCCCCAAGGACCCCGCACCATTCCCTCCAGGTGTGAGGCCAGGACAAAGCTCCGAAGGCCCGCCGACCTGTATCTGCTTCTCCACCAGCTGCAGTTGGACCAGCCAGGTAGGTTCTACGAAGGATTCCTCTTCCGGCTTCTCCTTCAGCTGAGGATCAAAGAGCCGTAACTGGGAAGCCACCTGGGAACAGAACACAGACCTGTGGCCACTGGAGGCTGGACGTTCTCCCACGAGTGGTCCTCGGTGAGCAGCACGTTCAGGTGCCGGCCCCGAAACGTTCCCACGTGACAGTCACGTGATGGTGTCAGAGCAGTAGGTGAGAGCTTGGGTCCCCCCAGCAGCCAGCCAGCCGCTCAGGAAGTGCCCTAACACCCAACTCTGCTGGCAGCCCAGCCCAGGGGTCCTCGGTCCACTTAGCTCAGGAGTGCTGCTGATTTATGGGGCTTCTTCCAGCAGGCCTGCAGCCAAGATCATTCTGGAAACTCCTGAGCCCCCAACACCACAGAGAGAGACTCCCTAATTCAAACCCCAGGTGTGACTCTATCCTGCTGGACCCTGACTGGCAGGTGTGCGATGCTGCTGCCCGCATGCGACGTGACACCTCGGCCCTTTAAACGGGCAGGTGCAGGTGCCACACTCTGCTCAGCCACAAGGCTGTCCCTGCTTCGAGAGCCCGCAGAGTGCCGGGGGGCTCACTTCATCCCCTCCAAGTCTGTGCTGTCTACCCGTTTCCAAGGGAAAGGATTCTGAAAGGCCTCCTAGGATTTCAAAGCAATGCTGCTGTGGGTCAAGAGGCTGTGAATCACCACGGAGACCTGACAGAGCTGTGTCCATTACAGAAGAGATCCCACCGTTCCCACAGCCACCACACAAAGCTAAGACCCATGGGGACAGCACGTGTGAGGGATCGCGGGCATGGGCGCACCCAGGGCCTCCCACACACATACCTGGACGAGCTGGCTGATGAGGACTGAGGAGTGGGAGGAGGGCTGTGCCAGGATGCTCTTGGCAATGACCTCGCAGTAGTGGAAGGCCTGTGTGGCTAGTCCCATGTCAGCCAGCCGGCAGGCGTAGATGAACTTGAACACCTATAATGAGCAGAGGAGCCTGAAGCCCCGGCTTACCCAGCGTGGTCACAGTGCCATCAGCTGTGGACTCCTCTGCAATGCCAGACCCCGCTGAGCAGCCCCCTCCCCACTGCAGCCACGGCCCCGCCCCCGGAGCAGGGTGCACAGCACCAACTCGGGCCGCGATGCAGCGCGCACACAGTGTCCACGCAGCTCCAGGCACGTCCCTTCTGTCCCTCGAGTCATTCGGTGAGGCCACACACAGCCCTCAACACGTCTGACGCTGGAACCGAGCGCTCTGGCTTCATAGCATCTGACACGCTAGGACCCAAAGTGCAAACTAAACCTCCAAATCCATCCACCCTGTTCTCAGCTCAATTAACAGACCAAGCATCTCCCTGAAGACCGGGTACTTCTTTTTCTTCGTAAGACTCCAAAAACTGATGGGAACTGACTAGATGTTACAAGTGAAGAGGTATACCCCAGTCCCCCCACTGGGGCCGGACTGGCCGCCACGAACCTGGAAATGGGGTAAGGAGCAGCTGTGGGCCCCGAGGGACTGAGCATACTCGTAGGCTTCCGTCCTCTGAATAGCCTCATTGGTGGCAAACTGTAAAAACGGCAAACTGGGGGAAAAAGAATTGTTTCGGCTTGAAACGGGCCCTCGTGCTCCTGCCACATGGTCGGCCGGGCCGCCACTTCCGCCCCCAGCTGCCCACGCAGGACGGACACGCAAGCAGACAGCTCGCGGCGAGGCCCGTTTATTGAGCACAGGGACTCTGCCAGCGCTTTACCTGTGGTTGGAGCCGATCAAAACCAGCTTTGCCGTCTTCTTCGTGTAGACTCCAAAGCCAGTCTCGGCCATGAGGTAGCAGAAGTGGGCAGCATCCAACAAGCCTTTGGAGGCTGGAAGAACACAACAAGCCAGACTAAGTGGGCACAGAAATCAGAGTGCACCTCCAGGCCTCCTAGGGCCCCCTGCCTGTGGCCCTGATCCCGTCAAGTTCAGCCGCTCCCACCTCGGCCCCTTACCCAGCGTATCCCCCATGGTGGTCATTGTCCTGGACTCCACCTCCATGTTGTTGTTCAAGTTGGACAAAACCATGGCAAGATGCGGCCTCCAGTCTCCCCACTTCTCGTCTCCACAGCACTGTGTCACGGGGGACAGAAAATACCCATGACCCAGGGACGCACAGCGCGGGAACAGGGAAGGATGCCTCCGTGTGGCCACAATGGAGTACCACACGTGAGGCCAGGCGCCCTACCCCTCCGCGGGCCCCCTCTCCCACAGGACCCTCCTGTGTGGCCCTCACCGTAGACGCAGCTGGCATCCGCCCAGACAGGAGCTGGTAGACGGTCTGCAGGGGGTCATTAATAGGCAGGCTGTTGGCAAACCTGGGAGGACAGAGCAGACAGGCTGGGCTTGGGTCTGACCCCGCACCTCTGTCACACACAGATGATAAAGTTGCGGTCCCTTTCCTACCACTATCAGGAAAGAGGACTAGGGTCCACGCGGGGTTTAGACCATGGTGAGAGGAAGCAGTGCTGTTACGGGCCGACTGCCCCCAGTGAGCTGTGGATGACCCTTCTGACACCGTCACCAAGACGGCCCCCAGGCACCGGATCCAGGGGCAAGGCAACGCCGCCTTGGCTCCATGACAAAACCCTCATGCTGCCCAGCTGGTGGGTCGGCTCCTAACCTGGTCATGACTCGGGCATGCGTCCGGCTGTCCATCTTACTCGCCAGGAGCAGAGCATGACCCCAGAGGCCGTTCTTCATGGCAGACTCCAATGCATCCTGTGAAGTGTGCAGGGGTTACTGAGACCAGGGCCAGGCAGCAGGGTCAGAGCAGTGTGAAGGGGAAGAGCTGCTCAGGACCCGGACCCAGAGTCCCCGCGTACGACAAGAGAGAGCTGACTGCAGAGGCTGTGGACCCTGTGTCCTTGCCTCCAAGAGATGACCACATCCCAGACCCGGGCCCTAGCACCCACCCAGCTGGAAAGACCCAGGACAGGCTGCCTCCCTGGCTTCCTGAGGCTTCAGGCACAGCTGAGCCAGGGCACAGGCGGCGCACCCATCTGTCGACAGCCTGATGCGAACAGCCAGTCTGCGGCCACAGCACGTCCACTACAAGGCCAGGGTCCCTCATGAAGGGGTACAGAAGCCACTGCACCCAGACTCGCGGGGTACACATGCCACGGGCAGCTGCAGTGCCCAGACTCTGCCCGCATGGACAAGCAGACCTGTGAGCCCATGAGTACCTGGGGGTCGATTTGTGCCTCGACGCACCTGTGCCTGCCTGTGAGCACCAGTGCGTCTACACACGCCTGTACGTGCCGGGAGCACCTATGTGTGCCTGCACGCGGCATGAACACCCGTGAGCACCACTATGTGCACGGATTGTTCTGCGAGCACTCATGCACACCTCTACGTGTCCATGAGCACCCACATGTGCCGGCACGCACGTGCCCGTGAGCACCTGTGACCCGCACACACGCGCCTGTGAACACCTGTGACCTGCATGCACGCGCTCGTCACCCGCACACACGTGCTCGTGACCCGCACCCACGCGCCTGTGAACACTTGTGACCTGCACGCACGTGCCCGTGAGCACCCCTGGCCTGCACGCACGCGCCTGTGAACACTTGTGACGCGCACACACGCGCTCGTTACCTGCACGCACGCGCCCGTGACCTGCACGCACGCGCCCGTGACCTGCACGCACGTGCCCGCGGCCTGCACCCTGGCCCTGCCCACCTTCTTGCGGCCGTACAGTAGCAGCTCCCTGAAGCGCTCCGTTTCTCTGACCAGGTCACCGGTGCCAGCTGGCTGACTGTCTGTGAGGAATGAGAGCTGGGCTTCCCCCGACTCCTCTTCCGCTTGCTCCAAAGCCTCGTTAGTAAAATCGATGAGGTTCGCCTCGTTGGGCGACTTCCCGGGAAGCCACACGGTCCTGTGGTCACGCAGCAGGAGCTCTGCAATGTCGGTCCCGACCACAGTCTGCAGGGACACGGGGTGGGGACACGGGGTGAGGACACGGTCAGGCGGGGGCAGGTGAGACCCCCCAGCATGTGCCACCTGAGCACGTGTGAACCCCCACAGCATGGGCCAGTCTGTTGGGGGGATCCTGATCACAGGCCCTGCTCCCCGGGTGTCCGTGCAGGACACTCCCCCCGAGGGCAGCGCCGGCCCGGCGACCCCTCCGTGCCGAACTCCTAGCCCCAAAGATTGCTCCAAAACTAGGAAGGAACATACCCCATTTTGTCTGCACAACAGAACAATAAGGTTCCAGAGAAGACTGGCAGATTCTCTGTCAATTATATTTTCATTCTGAAAGCACTTTGTTGCTTTGTTCTGTGCAAAATTAATAACATCCACTTTATGGGTATCGTCCCTGCAAAGAGAGCACGCACTGAGGACCCCGACCCCAGCGCTCAACCCCCGGCGCTCAGCCTCGCCACCTTGCGGCCAGGTGGTCAAAGAGAGCACACACTGAGGGCCCTGGACTCCCCCACCCTCAGCCCGGCACCCTGCGGTCAGGCGGGCAGCACGCACTTGCCGAGTGGGCCCGGGAAGGCTCGCATCTCCTCCTGCTCGGGACTGTGCTGCAGCAGCGTCTGCAAGGAGACAAGGCGGTGCTCACAGGTCCAGTGCTGCAGGGCACTGCTCCCCAACAAGCCCGCAGGCGGCAGGAGCTCCGTAAGCCCAGAGGAAGCACCACAGTGGTCAAGAACAGTCACTTTAGACTCTACAACAAGCACTGAGGCCACTGTCCTTGCACAAAAGGAGGTGCCTGTGCAGCCTCGGGCAGGGTATCTGCTCCACCATCCCTCAGGGGACTCCTGACACACCAGCAACGTGAGCAGACACAGCTGGAGCCACGGACAGGAAGGCCAGGCCTGCAGCTGTCAGTTAACTGCAAAGCCACAGAGGGAAGGCTCCCAGGCAAACTCCCGCCTCGACTGTCCCCCACTAGGACCAGCTCTCCAGAGAGGGGAGCCTGCTGGCTGTCCAGCCCCTGTCCTACTGCACCCCGGCTGCGGCCGTGCCCGGCTGCCTTACCTCCATGCTGTGCACCTCCACCAGCGCTGGCTTTCCCTCCGAAGGCAGGTTTGGAACCACCTTGATGAGCTGCCCACCTGAAGCGAACCTGGCACAGACGTGGGGCACTGCAAACTTCTCAGGAGAGCTTGGCCGGGACGGAGCTACATGTGAGCAAACGGGAAGAAACAATCAGCGGGCTGGCTACCTATTAAGGATTCAAGCCAGACCAAAGGCCGAGGCCCAGGCGTCCACTGTTGTGAGTACAGATGACAAAGCTAAGTCATCACAGCTCAAAGTCCTGAACTGTTACTAAAACACGACTCCTAAGGCGGCTCAGGCCAACGTCTAAATTGATAAAAATGAGAGGGCCTTTGAACAGAGCAGCAAACATCAAATGCTGTCCAGGTTGTGGAGAAACTGGAACCCTTATTCACTGTTGGTGGGAGTGTAAAATGGTGCAACCACTGTGGAAGGCGGTGTGGCGCTTTCTCAAAAAGTTGCAAATAGAGATACCATTTGACCCAGCAATTCCACTACTGGGAATATACCCCAAAGAGACCATAGCTGACATCCAGATGCACACCCATGTTTATTGCAGCTTTGTTCACAATAGCAAAGAGCTGGAAACAATCTAAATGCCCATCAACAAACGAATGGATAGAGAAGCTGTGATATATTCACACAGTGTAATACTATGCTGCATTGAAAAACAAGGAACTCATGAAATATTATTCAAAGTGGGTGACCCTGGAGGACATTATGCTGAGTGAAATATCTCCGTCACAAAAGGACAAATACTGCATGGTGCCACTGCTGTAGAATGGGACTGACATCAGGGTTGGGGTGAGACTGAAAAAGACGGGATAAACTATGTATACTGCATTGAAACAGATGAGGAGAAAACTGTTATGGGAATTGTATACTAATGAAGGAATTTTTTTTTCTCTCTTCGGAGGGGGAAGCGAGCTGGTGGGGAGGGGTGCGCAGGGAGAAAATTGTGGCAATGAATGAATGGAAATCCAAAACCTCTGTAAAAAAAAGGGATATGTGATTGGGTATTATGGTCATAACAGGAGTCCAGAACGAAGGTTGCATAGTGGAGTGTACTTGGGGCGGGAACTGTATACTATTCAAAGAGAAGAGCCAAGTTGTGGGGAGGGTGGGCAGGCAAAAAAATGCAACAATGAATGAATGGAAATCCAAAGTCTCTGTAAACCTTCATTAATTAAAAAAAAAATAAATAAATAAAAATGAGCAGGCCTGAGAGGAAGGGCTCCTTTTTGAAAGCCCTCAGCACGCCCACGCAGTGTGGGGAGTCCCCGGGGCTCCGCTGCCAGGCTCAGGCCCCTGGTCATGGCCGACTGCCTTCACCATGCCACACCGTGGGGAAGGGCCGAGCAAGACTTCCACGGGAACAGAAAAGCATTTCTGTGTGAGGGAGGGAGCCGGCAGGGGTCTGAGCACATTTTTTGAGGACCACCACTTGATCAGGCATTTGGGGGATTTAGAATGTGACCCACAGAAAGGGAGCTTCATCCCAGGCCGTGTGCCTGGCTGCCAGGACAGTGGGGGCACACACTAGGCTGGCCGAGGGCTCTGAAGGCAGCACAGTGCTGGGTTCTGTGGACGGCCCCTGCAGCAAACTCGCCACTACAGGCAGCAGACAGGAGCAGGCAGGCTGCAACCACCACAGCAACTGCCCACCCACTGGGGCATTCTCCACACGGGCTTCCTGGGGCGTGATGGCCCTCCCACCTGCTGAGGCCAGGCCCACCTGAAATGTCCACGGCGGGCCAGCTGGGGTCAGCAGGGTAGCCGTACTCGGGGTAGCCCTGCACACCATTGAAATTGCTTCCGTAAGCGCCATAGCTGTAGTCTCCGTGAAAGGACTCTGGTGGGGGTGGGATGTCATAGGGGCCGGCAGCCACACTGTGATTTCTGTAGATCTGACTCTTAAATAACACAGAATAAAAGGTGGAGTTAGATGTGTTTGTCATGAATGTCCCCAACACCGGTCAGACAAGTACATCATGAGAACTAGAGTAATGCGAAGTCCCAGTGGTACACTGGTGAAGTGCTTAGCTGCTAACTAAAACGTGAGTGGTTCAAATCCCCCTCCAAGGGAGACAGATACGTCCGTCTGCTTCACGACGACAGCCTTCGACTCCCTGACGGGACCACGTTCTGCCAGAACTCCGCAGAAATGAGTCCTGCAAGGAGCTTTGCAGTTCGGCAGTAAAAACAAGAGGGTCTGGTGGTGCCGTGGCTAAGCGTTTCACTGCTCGCCAAAAGATGGCTGGTTTGAAGCCACCAGCTTTTCTCAAAAGGTCACTCTTCTGGAGACCCTCTCAGAACCTGAATCAGAAGCAGCTCGGCTTCAGCAGGTGCTTAGGCTGTGGTGACAAGGACAACCACCTCCTGGGCAGAGCTGGTCTCAGCATTTCTGTCACTAATTCTCTTTGCAGAACCTTGCTTCTGGCAGTCGCTGTGAGCTGAGTGTGGCCCGCCCAGCACTCGCCTCCGTCACGGATGGATGGGAGAGGGCACTGTGTCCACCTGCTGGGGGAGCGTCCACCTGCTGGGGGAGCGTCCACCTCCTGTGGGGAGTGTCCACCTCCTGGGGGAGCGTCCACCTGCTGGGGGAGCGTCCACCTCCTGGGGGGAGCGTCCACCTCGTGGGGGGGAGCGTCTAAGCTGCTGGCCTTCACTGTGTGCAGTCCACTCGGCTGTGCCTCTCTTGGGGATGACTGGGGGTGATGCTGTGGGGACGTCTACCTGCTGGGAGTGGGAGCTGACGCTGCTGCAGTGACTACGCAGGCTGCGTGCCGAGTGCTCGCTGTGGACACTTCGTCTGTCCCCCTCGTCCCCATAAGGGTCTCGGCGCAGCTCCGGGTCCTCATCGAAGCTCGCTGAGAAGCGGGGGTCGTACCTCCATGGGTCATTGTCCCTCTCGAGTCTAGAAGAGAAAGATCAGAAGCAGAGGTGGGAGTGTGGGCGCCGCCCACTGCTGAGGAGGAACCCAGTGCCCACCAAATCCTCTGTACCCACTGCACCCCAGAGCGTGACCTCTCGGACCCCAACCACAGAAGCCCACCCACCCAGATTCAGCTGGACGCGAGCTTGCCACACTCAAGATGCAGACTCTGGGGGTGGGTAACCACGGAGAAACAGGCGACAGCCTCACCCAGCCCGGCTTGTCTCTAGCTGTTCAGAGCACCCCCAATTCTCCTCGGCAGGTAGGGAGGGCCCTGGTGGCTCCTCGTGGTGACACTGCAGCGGCCCAGCCAGCTTTCTGGCAAACTCACACTGGGGAATGCGGGCACCAACCTGTCCCCATATGCATACGGCTCCTTGCGGTATGAGCTGTACTCGGCGTCGTACCAGTGGCGCCGGTCGTAGGAGTGGGGGTCCCTGTACCGAGCTCCGTAGTGATAACGATCCCAGCGGCCTGGATCTGCAAGGAGGGGTGGACACCGGAGGGGTGGACGCCGGAGGGGTGGACGCCGGAGGGGAGGACACAGGAGGGGAGGACGCCGGAGGGGTGGACACCGGAGGGGAGGACACAGGAGGGGAGGACGCCGGAGGGGAGGACGCCGGAGGGGAGGACACAGGAGGGGAGGACGCCGGAGGGGTAAAGGACCATTGCAATAGAGCCCCTGAGAAAAACCGGGGCTCCCTCAAGCATCCCCACCCCAGGCCTCCGAGAGGCCCCGCAGAGAAGAGGCTGGCCAGTCCCAGGGTGCAAGCAGGCATGGGAATAGCCCAGGGCCAGGGGTTGTGTAGCTGCCAGCAGCTCACTGCCCGCTTTCTCGCCTACCTCCAAAGTCGTACTGGTTGTAGTAATCGGTGTAGTAATCACTCTGACTGCTCCACCCACCTTTGGTGGTGTAGTACCCCTCAGGGTACCCCTGCCTGGAAAACGTACAGTGTTGGGCCAGCCGGCAAGGCAGCAGCCAGGACACAGGACAAGCAGGGCCAGTGAGGGGGTCAGCAGGGCAGCAGCAACGTAGTCATAAGGATACCACACAGCTTGTGAAAGCCAACCCTGGAGTGCAGAGAAAAGCCCTGGACAAGTATTTCCCAGGTGGGCACTGAGCCCTCATGTTTTCAGCTGTGCCTTGTGCTGGAGGGATGCTGGATGTCCCGTGAGGACCAGGCCAGCAGGCTCAGACGTCTGAGCTCTGGAGCCCAGCTCAGCACCCATGACTCTAGGTGCCAGAGCCTGCGACCAGGGGGTGCTGGGGACAGTGGACTTTGGAAAAGGTATTACAGGATTAACCATTTAGACGAGCTGACATTTACAAAACACGACTCTTCTCAGGTCCCTGTTGAGATGGTAACAGGAGTGACACTCCCAGCCTGCCCCTCCCTCACCGAGCAGGAGACAGAAGCTGGGGGACAAGAGCACTGGAAGAAAAGCAGGGTCTCTTCCCCTCCCCACACCTGGGCCTTGTACAGCAGTCACCCGCAAAGCAAGATCGTCTCCCCACGCCTGCCGCTGGGCTCCACGGACACCCCAATGTGGCTTAAGACCAAGAACATGCACCCTCCAACTGAGACGCATGTCACAGCCACTTCGCCGCCAGAAGGGCAGTCACACCTGGGACAGTCGGTCCCCACCCGGCTCAGACCAGGGCCAGCCAGGCCACAGATGCACACACGTTCAAACACTACTGTCCCTAGCATGGCATCCAGGGCAGAGACGAAGGAAGGCAGTGCCTCCAGACAGGTGGCAGCCACTCAGCAGAACGCGGCTAGAGTGAGAGGGGACAAGCTATGCGGGCCTGACTCTCCTTTGGCTAAGAGGGCCTCTTGCAATCAAGTGCCCCCTCCCTTCCAAGTGTCCCTCCAGCTTCTGTCGAGCAGCTCCCATGGAGAACTCTGGGCTGACCGGTGATGAGCAAACCACAACGGCCCAAAGAGCTCTCACCCTCTGCCCTACTGTCCACAAGTCTCACCAGCCTGGCTTGGAATCTGACCTTGAGTTGGAAGCTCCAGCCTGAGTCCAAGCAACTCAGAGACAAAGTAAAAGAACTGGGATTTTCTTACACCAGCAATTTCTCCAACGAGAGAGAACGCTCAGTGTGGCACTCGGTCCCACGAGGCTCAGCGTGGACCTGGAGTGGGCAGGCTGACGTGGCCACGTGGGCCGGGGCTCAGAACAGACCCAGCCCCGGTCCTCAGATGAGCCCAGTGGCACCGCTTTGGGAAGGATGTGCACATACAGGACTGTGTGGACAACCAGCTTCCTCCACGTGGTCATGCTGAAGACACAGCACCAGGGTGCTTCAAAGTCCCTACAACTGGTGTGTTCTCTAATGTACGTGTGCATCAAAAGAGACCTGTAAATGTATCTAGTGTGTTTAATCCCATAAAATAAAGACTGATTCACAAAGATGCTGATGGTAAAAAGTACTCAGTACCACTAGATAACTGAAGTTTAAGATTGTAGAAAAATCCCCAAACTAGAAAAACAAACAGGACAGGAGTGGTGAGAGCCACGTGGGACATCAGACTTCCCGGATAGCTCACCTGGGCACTGGCCGGTCGTAGAGACCTCCGCGGGGGCTGGGCCGCTCAGGCTCAGGACAGGCAGGCGTGCCGGTGCTGTCGTAAGAGCGGTAGGCATCCTGGGGGAGGAAGACGGGCAGGGTCAGACCCTGCACAGCAGCACACGCTGGACTGCACCCTTCCGCACCACCGGAGCGCCACTCCACAAGCCAGCGGCACAGAACACCCCACGGGTGAGCAGCCCGTGGTCAGGCAGGAGGCAGGGCCACCCTGAGCTCAGGGCAGCAGGCCACACACACCCAGTACCCAGCAGACCCAGGGGACGCTCTCCTCTGACACGCAGACCCTGAGGACACAGAACCTCACACTCTTAGCTCAGGACCAGTGGGTCCCAGGGACTGACCGGACAATCCCCTCCCACCAGCCCACAACACTCGTCAGCCACCTGACTCCTCTGCGGCTGACAGCAGGACGAGGCCTGAGTCAGTCCCACCAGCCCTGCCTCTAGGTCCACCTCTGCCATCACTGAGCACGAAGCCATTCACGTTCTCCTGACCATAGGACGCTCCAAGAACAAGGGACAATACTGGACAAGGGCTCTCAAACTCACAGCCAGTGCTGGGAGCGTAGCTGAGCTGGAAGGAGGCCAAGGGTGTGAGGGGCGCTCGGCTCAGCCCCACCGTGAGCTTTCAGCCCAGTTTAGAGACACACACACAGAGGCTCCTCTGAGGACTCAAGACCTCGGCCGCTGGCTGTGTGACTGCGCTCACACACAGAGACGCGGCTGGTGGCCGTCGTGGAGCAGCCCGCCCCGCTTCCCAGGTCCCAGACTTCCCACGTCCAGGTGGTCACCAGCCACCGGGCTCCACCAGCCTTCGCACCAGTACCCCGTCAGTGACGCAGGCTGGGGACTAGGGACAGGGGACCAGCCCGCACATCGAGGTGGTCCCCAGAGGACAGGGGGGCGGCCTGTCCCAGCCGCAGGGCTGAAGGAGGCACCTCTTAGCGGCTCCACCCACCCACACGCCACTTGCACAGGGCTCTTCCTAAACGTCTGCATTCTGAAGACGGGCTCAGGGGCCTACAGGTCTACACTGCCGCCTCCTGCTGCTTCTCAGGCCGGCTGCGGGGCTCAGACACCAGTCACTGGGCTATGCTAGTCTCCTGAAGCGTGCCACACTCAAGCCTGGCACTGCAGAGGGACAGCAGGGTCCCTACAACAAAAGACACCGAGTTACACAGAAACTAGGCAAGGAGTGCAAGCGCATCGGGACGCTCGTGTGTGCAGAGGCCCCGCAAGGACAGGCCGGACGGCGGCGGAGCACGCCCACGCAGCAGCACAGGGAACCGGCCGAGGAGGGGCCTGGGGACCGCTGCTCCTTCCAAGGCGGCCGCCCACGACCAAAGAGCACACCGGGACGGGGTGGAGGCCGGCTGGGCGCCACCCACGCTCACCCTACCTGGTAGTAGAGGTGGGCCGCCCCCGGCTCTGGGGGGTACTGCGCGGGGTACCGAGCAGGGTACGTGTCATACAGAGATCTGTAATAGTAGTACGACAGGTCCGGCGGGAGCGGGGGTGGCCACTGTGGCTCTGACCGCCCGGCGGCCTGGCTTGAGCTGGCAGACGTGACGGACACGCTGGAGGACTGAGGCCAGGGCTGAAGCGGCTGACCAGTGTCGGCTGGGTTTATGGATGGCTGGGCGGAGCTGAGGGCCTGGCCTGATGGCGGTGGGCTCCTCGAGCTGGAAGGTTCTGGCAGTGCTGCTCTGGGCGCCTGCGGGGCCAGAGCCGGTTGCTGCGGAGGACCTGGCTCTGGCTGGGCTCTCTCCGAGCCCTTTTGGCCCTGGGCCTCTTTGGTCACCTGTTGGTAGAAACAGTCTGGGTTATGTGGCCCAGGGCCCGGCTGTCTGAGGTGATCAAGGCTCTTAGGAGGGGACACACTAGATGTTCCGCTAGGATTTCCCAGAGTCCGGTTTAAGGAGAAGTCAAGGGCAGAAGTTTCTTCTGGGCGGCCGGCGGGCTCGGAGGCCAGGCTGGGGCTCCCGGCAGGAGGAGCACTTCCCAAATTCTTCTCGCTCTCCAGAGCTGCGGTCACCAAAGGAGTGGGAGGCTGGGCCCGCAGAGCCGCAGTCCGCTTAGCAGGCACGTCCGCGTCGGAACCCAGTGGACAAGTCTGGGGGAGACTGCTGGGCGGAGGCGACCGGCCAAGCGCCCCGGGGGGACTCTCCGACGAGGGCAGGCAGTCTCCTGGCTCCCCTAATGTGCCACCGCCCAGAGCGGGCCTCTCCCCCACCACAGGGTCCCTCTGGGCCAGAGTCTTCTCATTTCGATTCAACAAGGACATGGGAAAATGAACAGGCTGGGCTTGAGCCAAGTGACAGCTCTGGTCGGGCAGGGTGACCAAGACCGGCTGGCTGTGCAGAGACTCGGTGGGCAGCAGGGAGAGCAGGCTGGCGTAGCTGCGACTTGCCTGAGACTGGACGGCCTCCTCCTCCCCCGCCTTGGGGGGGTTCTCCAGGTTTTCAGAAGGCCCAAGGCCATCGCGGCTCTGGAGGGGGGACTCGGAGCCTGGCTTGTGGGAGCGTCGTCCGCAGGTGCCCTCCTCGGGAGGCCGGAGCGCTTGTGAGGCCCGAGGTTTTGTCGGAACGCAGAGTGCCGGGGAGGCTGGGGCCAGAAGGACATTGCCCCCAAAATCTGGAAGCTCATTCTGCGCCCACAAGGTTGTCACCGGGCTCTCGCACTTGAAAGCCCCGTGGGATTTGGCCAAAGGCCTTTTCTCAGGCGACAGGACACTGGCTTCTGCAGGTGGCCCCCCTGCGTGGGGGAGCACATGGCTGGCTCTGGCAGCAGCGCCGAGGGGCAGCGGGCAGGCTGGGGCCGGGAGAAGGGTCTCCATGTTGTCGGGTGGCTGTTCCAGGTTGCCGGGGGAGGAGGCATCAGGCAGCGTGGTTCCCGCTCCCTGCTTCATCAGGGGGCCATGGCCGCTCTTCACCTCCATCACCATGTTGGCGTGATCGGCCTCAACTGGCCGCACCTCGACAAACTGGGACTTGACAGGCTCGAAGGAACTGTTCGCACTGGTCTGGAAGGTCCCCATGGGCTTCGGGGGGCTTGGGGTCGCAGGCTGCGAGTGCCCAGGGCAGTAACTCTGGGGAACAGGGCTCTCCTCAGTGTCACCACTGACTGGAGAAGAATCGATTTGCTTAAAGAAACTGCCTGCAGCGTCGTCCTCCGGCTTCCCGACTTCCTGCTGAATAAAGGTGCCCACCAGCTCCTGGGGTCTGGCCACGCTTGGAAGGCCACGGGGCCCTTTGCTGCTGAAGCTGGAGGACACGCTGTCACGTCGCACAGGCTGTGAGGGGGTGTCGGGGGCCTCCAGATTCAGTCCCTCGCCTCCAGTGTCGCCTCCAGTGTGGCTTGGAGCGGGCGGCCCAGGAGGGGCTCCGTACCGGAAGGGATCACTCGAGGAGGAAGGGGTCAAAGCCAGGGGCTCACTCGGCAGAACTTCCTGGTTCTGGACAAACTCGAGGTCCTCCATGTTCTCACACTGCGAGCTGAGGGCTCTGTGGGCCGCTGGGCCTGCTGCAGCACCCCACACACCAACGGCTGCACTTCCAGCACCGGGCTGGCCGTGCTGAGGGCGAGCGAGCAGTGTGTCCCCTACTTGTTGCATGTGCTCGCTGCTGGAACCCTGGGGGGACGTCTGGTAAAGGCCACCTGTGCCCACGTGTGCAGGGGGGTGGCCAGAGCTGACACTGATGCCATCAAAGGCCGAACCTGGTGAAAGGTTCTCCTCATTCTCTGCCTCCCCACCTCGGAAGAACATGGCGAGCGTCCCGGGGCCAGCCTCCGCACTGGGGCCAGCCTCCAGCCCCGGGGGGCAGTGCTGCTGGTGGTCAGGGCCATGTCCCTGGGCAGGATCTGGCCTGACCTCCTGGCTCCCCCACGCCAGGCTGGCCCTGGGATGCTGTCTGAACTCCTCAGGGTCGCAGTGACCGGCAGTGTGACTTCCAGTCCGTGTGCAGGCTGCTTTGTGCTTCTCGTCCCCAGCCAGGGGTCCCGGAGCAAGGGGCTTGTGCTGCACCTCATGGCCGGGACTCTGCTGTATGTCAGGCTGAGGGGGGAAACGAGGAAGGCTGGGAGCCCAGGGCACTGCCCCATGGCCAGCTCCCTCTGGGAAGGGTGGGTAGTGGTGGCCTGAGGCCCGTGGGCCCCCCTGGCCCGGTGCCCACGGATCCGGCCTCTGCACTGGTGGCTGAGGGAAGACCGAGGACGTTGTCACCGGCCCAGTACCATCATGAAGGCTGGACCTGTTGAGGGGTCTGGTGGGCCCAGGCACTGCCCCCTGAGGGCTGTCCCGACCCACTCCTGGAATGTACGGAGGAGGGTCTGGAGGGGTCGGGGCATCAGGGGCAGGGCTTGGCCTCATCTCTGCACTCCTGCTGGCCTCCGGCCCAGGCTGGGCTGCCAGAGTCAGGGGGCTGGCCAAGAGGCTGGTGTCAACTGCAGGCTGCTGAAGGGGGCCTGGCACAGGGTCACGGGGTGCCTGGGCAGGACCCCCGGCACTGGCGTGAGGTGAAGGCAGGGGCCCACGCTGAGAAAGCACGAGGGCTCCTGGCAGACAGGGCAGGCTGCTTCCAGGCAGAGTGTCCGCGTTGGTATCCTGGGCCATTTGCCTACTAAAAGCAAAAGGGTCCGTCACAGGCTGTGGGGGGCACGTCACAGGAGCCGCTGGTGCACTGCTCAGCGTTGGTCTTCTGTACGGGCTGCTGGGCCAGAACAGGCTCCGCGGACCTCCCACGGGAGGAGGCCGCATGGGTCCTGACGGGGCCGCCTGGGGCGGGGGCTGCATGCTCCTTACAAGATGAGACGCTGTTCGCAGACCCAAGAAACAGGTTTTCTTTAATCTAATTTGAAAAAAGGAAAAAGGAGAAATCAGTATAAAAACACGTTTCCAAATTATGGTAGCACGCAGGGAAACTAAGAAAAATGAAGACAGAAATGCACTTTTAGCCTCCTGGTGACCATGAGGCTCAGTTCCAGGGGGGAGTCATCCAGTCCCCGAGACGGAGGCCTCGTCCTGGCGCTGTGCGCTGCACGGGGCACAGGCCGGGAGCTAGCAGGGCCACCCTGGACCATCCAAGCCCCTCTCTGGGGTCAGGCTACAGAGCTGGCTGAGCACACACAGATGTCCATCTCCCCACATCTGAGGACCCCCATACTGCACACATCACTGGGTTCAGAATTCCACTCATTTTCCATAAACCATCACTAGACTCAGCAACAGTGACTGTTCCTTCTCCTGAGACAAAAATCACAAGGCCACACTCTTCATACAAGTTCATTTTCAATCTCATGAGGAAAACAAAGTTCAAAAGGCACTGTCGTGTTCTTTCATGTGAGAATAAAGCCTGTAACACAACTGCAAGAAATGTATGTCTCTCGAATGCCTTGTACCCACTGTGGAAATGGCTCAGGGTTTGCACTGTGACTGGTCCAGGACTCGAAAGCGCCAATATGAAAATAAGGCTGCCTCCGATGCTCACGGGAACAGCACTGCTGAGCAGCAGCTATGTGTGCAATGAAAATCCCAAGTAAACTTAGGACCGCTTTAAAACTGACCACCAGAGTTGAATGGAGATTTTAGCAAGAGGCAGAGTGTGGGGACAAAGCTCCAGAGAGAAAACAGGGTGAGAACCCTCACGGCACTGGAGTTTTGGTCATCGCTCCCTTTCTAACAAGAACTGAGGCACAGAGACTTGTCCACCAATGTTCACAGCAGCATTATTCACCATCGCAAGAACATGGAACAAGCCAGATGTCCCACCTCAATGGAACGCACTGAGAAATTATGGGACATTCCCGCAATGGGATACTACGCAGCACACAGGATCAAGGACTCTGTTAATTATTACCTAACTTGGGAGGGACTGGAGAGCATTATGCTGAGGGACCTAACTCAGTCAACCAAGGACAAATATTGTATAAAATCGTTACTGTCGAATGAATACGAGGATCCAAGGGGGGAGGGATTAATCATGGGATTAATGATGAGAGGGTGAGGCAAACTGGAAGAATCTGGTCTGAAAAACAACGTATTTGAATTTTGTAAACAAACTAGTATGATAAAATACAAAGAAAACCATGAAGCACAGTGCTGAAGAGCTAAACTATACTTTCAAGACAAGAGGCCAAGAAGAGAACTTGAGAAGGTCCTTTTCTGCCTGCCCGCCCTCCTCCCCCAGCGCCACGTGCAGAAGGTAACGTTTATTCCAAGAGGGAATTCAGTGCAGTCGGGGCAACTGAACCTGCTGCTGCCGGGAACCTTCCATCCGTCCTTGGGAGACAGCTACAAAGCCCTCTGAATTAGCCATTTACAACTACAAGTTCCCTCAGCCCTGAAGCTCCAACTGCGACTATGTTCACGCATTTTCTTCTGCGAGGGCCCAAACACACTCTGCTCTGCCAGGAGGAAACCTCTCTCTGAAGGACAGCACCTCGAAATCCACTTGAACTTGATAGGCTGCATGAAGAGCACAGAATTCCTCCGCATCTACGCTGTCACTTTAAAACAAAGGCAGCGCACAGCTGGCTTCACGACCTCAGCGCCGAGCAGGCAGGCCAGCTTCCTAGCGTCTGCCTGCGGGGGCTGGCTGCTGGGTCCTGCCAGTCCAGCTGCGGAGCCACACCGGACATACAGCACCTTCAGTGGCGGTCAAGGACGGTGTCCTTCTGTGGACAGACGCACCTCCGGACATCACCCTCAACCATGGTTCTTCCTCCACACTGCAGTAGAAGCCCTGGACCCCCGTGGCTCTGAGTCACGTTAAGAGCACAGGTCCCAGCATGCTCCCCTCGGTGACTGTGCCCACCTGGCGGCAAGGCTGGGGTCGCGCTGTGGGTCCACCAGCACCTCTCCGCATGCACAAGGTGAATTTGGCAGGGAACTTGGGGGCAAGTCTGCAGGACCCACTCGCAGACAGTCTGGGAGGCCCCAAGCTTGTGCTTTTCCACAGAATTCAACCCAAACACAAGTGTCAGGTTCAGACTTGAATGTACTGTGCAGACACTTTGTTAAACTTACTTTCTCAACTTGATGGGACCGAGGGCTGTTTTACAAGCCAGCTGTACGACTTCACTACAAAGTGGAAGCTGCCACTTGTAAGCTATTTAGCAACCTGCCAACTCCAACCAGAAAAACCTTGTTTCCTGCGAGCTCAGCCTCTATTCATAAGCAGAGAACAACCCAAACCGCCTGCGTCTACCTCACTGTGTGGCCTCGGTCAGGGAACGCGGCAAAGGCCGACTTCCGTCATGTCGCGCGGCTCAGGACAGATGCGTTATTCACAAACTTAATCCTTCAACTAAATGGCACTGAATCTAAGGGTGCCCGCTGTCACTCTCACTCTGGCTGCAGAACTGAAGCGCCTACCTGCCTCCTCCCACGGCCAGGGCCTCAAGCTGTCAACGTCTAGACAGACAGAAGCAGCAGGCCAACAGCGGCCTGTGTTCCCTCTGCCTCCTCGTGACCACAAGGATCCCACCAAAGACCACCAGATGGACATGCGAGGAGGACGCAAAGACAGGCCCTGGGCAGGCAAGGAGGAACTCAAACCCCAGGGCTGCTGAAAGGACAAGAGCCCTTGGTGGGGAGGGTGGGCAGGGAGAAAAGTGCAACAGTGAGTGACTGGAAACCCTAAATCTCTGTAAACTTTCATTAAAATAAATATTTAAAAAAAAAAAATACAAGAGCCGGAAGGACACCTGCCCCCAGGAGAGAAGGGCCACGGAGAAGGACCTGACCCTAGAGGAAAGTGCTTCCAAAATCACTGGGCGGCTCCTGTTAACGAAGGTCACGAGTCCACAGCCTCGTCTTTGCGAGGTCACCGGAACCTTCAGGAGTCCAGGCCAGCGCGCGGGGCACCCGGGCAGCTCCCGCTGGACAGGCCCCTCGTGCTCACCTGGGGCCACCTAGCCTCCCCCCTACCGAACACCTGCACCTCAAGCTTCACACCAAACCCCGGTGCCACCCAGGCCCCGACGACAGGCCAATCAAAGGGTTTGCAAATGAGCAGCACAAACTGGTTCCTGGGTGGCTTGGCTGCGCCCCAGGCCTCTCCTGCAAGCTCACCTGCCCACCTGCCCCTGCAGAACCTGGACGCAGGCCCCGCCACCTCTTGCAACACCTGTCACCTGAGACGCGGCCACCCTACTCCTCCGATCCGGGCCTCGAGGCCACGGGCGCGCTAAGTCCACCTTCCCCAAGGTGGGCGCGCCTTCCGCGCTGCCCGCTGCCCCCGCCGGAAGGGCCATCGTGGCCGAGCACGGTCAGCACGGCTGAGCTGGCAAACAGGGGCCGAGGACCTGGCCACGTCAACCTGTGACGATCGGTCTGTAAGTCAACACGGGGCAGAGGGCATTAGGCTGGACAGCACCTCCCCGAGCTGGGCGCCGTTCCCTGCCCGTGTCCCGACCCGGCGGGCGGCTCGCAGAGCCTCGGGCGGCCGCCAGGACCTGCACGGGGTCTCCGCGACCGGCCGGCCCTCGCCCTCACCGGAGAAGGGCACCGCCCGGTC